GACATGACTGGGATCTAAAAGAAGCTTGCTTAAGTGACTTATTTGAAAAAGTCTGGAAATATTAAAAGACTATATTCCATAGTAGGTGGATACACATCATTCTCCTCTGGGCCATTATCATCATCATCTCAAAGACAGGTTTTGTGGGCAGTGCAGTTTCAGGCTCTAGAGATTAATGGCTATTAGTCTAGAACAGGGCTGTCAAACTTGCAGCCCGCAGGCCGGATGTATCACATGCTGTCCACGCCCCCGCCCGGTTTAGCAAAGCGGGGGAAGTCCCGATACGTCATGTGGAAATAGTTGAGCCAGTTCAATGAACAGCTAAGAAATAAGGTGAGCACGAATTACACAGAAAGCAAACGTGGAAGATTTTCTACTTCTTAAATTAGAATTTAATTACAGTTAAAAGCTGGGGAAAGCATTAATGTCCTGCCTGGCAAGTCATAATTTATTAATTCGTCTTGGACAAGGAATGGAAGACTTCCTGGTTTGTTTGCCAGTTCATGGAAAGAGTGAAGGCATTCTTATATTTAGTTGAGGTTATTAAACCGAAATAAAACGATCCAAACACAGCAATATCATCTAACCACTGTTTCAGGTCAATTACATTTTGAATCACAAAGAGTTGTCTTTATGTCTTGGCACAATACATTGGCTCCCATGCAATGAATGGAGCTGTTAGCCAATATAAACATGCATTCTCCATAATTTACTAAATGGTGTTTCTTTTGAAGCATTGGGGGCCAAAGAAAACGTTTACTTTGAGAATTAGGAGCAACAATTCTAGAGGTTTTCCAAAACGTAAGGATATACAGCTGCTCGACTTTCCTAGCATCGGTCCCTCCAGCTGTTATGGACCACAACTTCCAACAGAAACAAACCAAAGGAGTACCAGGCACAAAATATCTGAGAGCACACTGTTTCTCAAATGATTTTCCCCAAGGAATCATATATCACTCTTCAAAATAAGGAAACTTTTATTCTACAAGAACTTTCAGAATGCTATAATTTAAAATATTTTATTACAAGGCTTCAAGATTGTCATACTTTAGATAATTCAAGTGTATCTGAAAAATGGCAAGATCATTTTACAAAAGAACTTGATCAATCAGCCAACATACACAAAATAGTTCTGCGCACACCACTTGCAAATTTTACAGTACTTAGTAAGCAAGCTTACAAAACAGTAGTATTTCTGCAACTTATAATATGTAAACTTTGTTAGACCTTATAAAACACCTCAGCAAAACTATTACAGGAAATGAAATCTATTAGCTAGGTAGCTCCGTTGTTCAAAGACCATTGCTATGTCTCACGGTTTAAGGGCCTGGACTTTAAGAAAATATTACCAAGAGACTCTTCCTGGACTTCTAAAAACAATGTTAATAAAAATATATGGATTTCAGACTATTCCATTATATTAGACTTTATAAAACAAGCATGCTCCATTGATAACATCATATTCAAGATACTTACAATTGGGAAATTAAACTGACAGATAATAAATTAAGTGCTGATGCTGCTTACACACTAGCAAGAAGCGTGCAAAAATATTCAATATGGTATTTAATTTCATTGTACAAGGTGCAATGACAATAAAGTGAAGTAAACTAAACAAAAGTTCTCTAAGAGGTATAGAGAGCGCTGCCTTCTTGAAAGAATTCAATAAAGGGCCACTTGTTTCGGATGTGGATTTGGAACTCAGCATCTGTTTACACTAGGTTTGTTTCTAACTGCTTGTCTGGTAGCCCACAAGCAAATAAGAACTCCATGATGATGAGTGACAGGTCTGGTGGAGGAGAGGAGAGATTCTTCCACTCGTTCCCTTGTTTCCCAGATAGCCATAACCGAAAGAAAAATCTCTATATTCTAATCAACAAGGAAATATAAACTAATGATTGCACTGGCTAACAATTCCTATAGTCTATAGACTGGAATCACATATTGCCTGAGAAATAGTTTTAAGAATAATTTGCTGAATAAGTCCTAATGGTAGGATCCGTGCAATGCAGTACAATATAGCAAGTCATGAACCATAGTTTACAAAACAATGTGATTATGGTCATACAACACACTAAACCAAAACAAACCACATCACAGGTTAATATTAAACTGTGATCTAAATTAAAAAAAAAAAAAACAGCAAGCATCACAATGCCAAATCTTAACTAGGCCTTCTTAAGAGATAAATCACTGGGACAAACGTTATAAACTTTCCTGTAAGATAATTTCAGATTGTCAACATAACACGATAAGTATCCTTTATCTAGGAATTGAAATAAAAGAGAGAAGAGAGTTTTAGAAAAAAAAACAGGGCTGCTGCCACAGCGGATAGATGCACACCTAAAAAGTGGACACTGAAATTATTTGGGGATTTTACAATCCTACATCATTATGTAGACCTTGCTTGTGTCAATAGTATAGACATCAAGACAAATATGCAGAATTAGTCGTTAAATATGCCACAGAATAAAGGCACTGTGTCAACATGTAAAAGAATGATGGAGGCATCAAAGTACAAAACACTTTCCACAATACAAGGTGAATTGTTCAGTGAAATCCACATGCTTCCTTAATACTTTTCTTTAATCATACCTTAGTAATATTTGGGATTAATTGCCACAGGGCAGGAAATTAACCAGCAGAGAAGAAAAACAGTGTGACAGCTTAAGTGTTTTAAGTAGTAGAGCTAGATTCAAAATTCTCCTAACGTTAATCATAGGGTTACTTTTCTCAGATCAATCTATCTCACACAACTAATACAGGAGATAAAACTAAGTAAGCTATAATATATAAAACATAGTTCCCCTTAAAAAAAATTGTAGGTTTCCAGAAATATAGAACTTCTCCATTTAAACAAGACAATAAACGTAACAATAGTTAGGATAGACACTAAAGCAACACTGCCTACTTCTAGCAAAGAGACAGGCAGATAAGACTTGAGAAAGGCAGAATATAAGTCTAATAAATAAATACCCCCCCCCCAAATTGTAAACAGGGTTAGACAGTAATATTTGCATACGTATCATTCTATTAGACATTACATTGGTGATTCAATCACTTCATTCTTATCTGTCAAGACTTAAAACTTTAAAACTGTCAACATAATCAACATACTGTATACAGAGAAAATCATTTGGAGATCAACAGCACTTTAAAAATCAAGGAGACATTAAAATGGCAGCGTCCTGCATGTAAGTGATATAAGAGACTGAAGCCCCAGCTTGCTAAATTCTCTGCCACAAGCTGCCTCCTTGGCTAGCAAGACTCTAAATGGTCACATTGCTACCCAACAGGTTGCCCAATACTGTTCTTACTCAATGCAAAGGTGAGCTGAGTTTAGGAGCCAACTATTTGTCATCCGACAAGCTTGGGCTTAGAAAAAAATGTGAGTAGCTTTCCAACTTCCTTCTGTGGACGCTTCACTGTCAACCTTAACTGTTGCAGACGATTACACCACTTCTATTGGAATTATAGGATCACCAAGCAAATACGACACTCAAACTTTCTTCTCTTGTTGCTATATCATACTCCCAATTTTCTCCTCCTTCTGAAAGCTTTAGGACTAGTGAAAGGAATCCAACTAGCATAACTAGGACTGTGCAGTGCTTTGGATCTGAAATACTCCAGCTGGATGCCACTGTTAAGGTAGGTAATAGCACACTTTAAATCAACTGCCTCCTTTCCCAGGATCACCCTATGCAATTGCGGTGTGATCCCAAGAAAAACCATGTCAGATTATGACTTACAGGCAGGTGCAATATTGATGCTCCAAAGTACCTTTTAGGATCTATCCCTGAAGCCATGCACAGCCCTATACTTATTACCACCATGATAAGTGCTGAATAACACTGACAAGGGATCAACGAAGACTAAGGGAAGAAGAACAGAGCAAAGTATGTTTATCACGCTGTTAAACAAGCACCGTAGTTAGAAAATAAATCCACATCTTTAATTCTGCTGGTAAATAGGGACTAACCTAAAATTATAAATGCGGTTTCAGAATAACAGAGTTGGGAAAGGGACCTTGGAGGTCTTTTAGTCCACCCCCCTGTTCAAGCAGGAGACTAGACTACTCTAGACAAGGTAAGAGTTCAGGTAAGAGTTCTGTTGCAGGAAAGAACTGCAAACACCAAATATATATTTTATAACAGATACGATTGTTATATTCTTTTAAATACACGCAAATACCAATGAGTCAAGCTTGATTTTTGATACAGATAGAAACATGAAATATTCTTGGCAACAATATCAACATGATTTGCAATTACCATCTTGATTTCCCAATCTAATCTATACCCCACAAATTCTTGGTGATCTCTAATCCAAGTACTGCCAGAATGAGCCCTACTTAATTACAAAGCTCATTTAAAACCAGTCAGGGATTACCACCCAAAGGTCTCAAGTTTGGGGTTACAAATTGGTACCATTATATTAAAAATTAAATGTGTGTCTAGCCATATTAAATCCATCCCTATTTTTGAGTGGATCTGGACATCTGAATAATGCACATACTTCATAAGATAATGACAAAATATTTCCACTGACAAATTTTACTCTCCCATGAAACAACCTGTACCAGTGACAATTATGCACTATACAAATTTAGGATTTGTGCCATCCTTCAAACATGATTATCCTGGGGCTTTTTTTTAACAACATTCTAAATTTACAATTTAAATATATGTATCAGATGTCCAGGCTGCTTTTTAATTATATGTCACCTCAGATAATGTACATATGCATTCTCAAAAATCCTCTCAACAAGCTTGCAAGGTAGTACTTTTGAGAATGCATATGCAATCTTGACGCTGCGGAATGGCACCACCTGATAAAGAAAAAAGGTCTTGTTAGAAAGTCAGTTTCTGAGCCAAGAACGGAAGTGGAAAATTCCAGCCCACGGCTTGGCTAGTTGCATTTCTACAATTCCACACCTCAAGGTAGGCCTGGATATCCTTCATTACTACTGGCCAAAGATTCAGCAAGCATGCCCTTCTTACCTTATCTTTTTCGTGTGGAAGCAGTGAAACCGGAGGAAGACAAGAAAGAGACTCACAACTCTCTTTCCCATCTGCGTGTGTGGCTGCTTTCGTGTTGAGCTGATACAAAGGTCCGTCTTTAAGGAGTCGCCCATGGCCAACCGCACGCTTAATGGCCAACCGCAGCTGCTGATGAAAGGTAGAAGGGGCACCACTGGCAAACAAAGCTGAGACATCCTTCTGCCCTTTCAAGTAACGCTCAATGTTCTTCAAAGATGACCCAGAAGACTCTGCCAAGCCCTCAATTGCCCTCTTGATCAGTTTGTTCCAGTCCACATTTGGTTTACCATCCAACTTTCCATGGTTCCGTGGTTTAGGAAGTGCTATTCGCCCAGGGTTATCGGGATCCTTGTAGGAATTAAGTCCTTTATTAGAAACTTTTAAAATAGTCCCATCTTTAACGCTCAGTTCCAACTGTTCCAGGACAGTTTTGCGATCCAAACCGTGGGATGAAGAGACGGCATTGCATATCCTCTCTTCGGATGGCCGCTGTTTTTGCTTCTTGACCTTTTTAATTGCCTCCAAAATCCACTCCGTGTACAGCGGGTTAGCGAGTTTTACCATGGTGAAAAATTCTTTATATCCATAGAGTCGTTATCCCTTATCCCTATGCTGAAGGAGTTTCACACAATGGGAAAACAGAAGATCGGAGAAAGAGGACCAGTTAATCATAGCATATGCGTTTTTGGCCCCAAATTGCTCTTGTTTTTTACAAACATCAGTATTTCCTACTTCTGGTTCACGGTTTTCCAATAGCCTCCCCCTCCAAAAAAGCCCAACCCGGATGGGAAAAAAAAACGTATCCACACAAGTAAAAAGGTATCAATACATTTCATTCCACTGCTTGGTAATTCCCAATTTGACAGGCAAACTGTGCACCTGCAAGAAAAGGAGAGGAGAAGGGGGAAACATAGATTTAAGTAACTTAACACAATCTGTGAAGATATTGTAGGATTCGTTATCATAAAACAGCCCTGTTTATAAACACCCCTCCTCCCCAATTGCCTCCCAAGAGCACTTTGACTTGTTCCACAACTGAAACTGAAAGCATTTCAGAACTGGTTATCTTAAAACAGCAATGATCAATCCTCTCTTTTCTTCTTTTTTTTTTTTTACCCCAACCAACTCTGAACTTTTGGCAGCCGCATAGATGCCCTTTATCAAACTCCAGATTTACACCAGGGAGGCAAACCCCAGATGGGGAGAAATCAAAGAGAGAAGGAAAAAAAAAACCACCCCCCAAAAAACCCTGAGAGTTGTGTTTGCAACAGCCAACGTTGCACAGCCGATATATTTCAGAGAATGAGGGTTATATTCTTTTAAATAGACGCAAATCAATTGGGATGGGGAGGGGAGGCAACTCAGCCGGCAAACTTTCTCAACTCCCGGATTTTAAAAAAAACAAAAAAAAAAAAAAAAAAATCCCCACACAGACAAAAGGGGGGATGGAAAAAAAAGAGGCAAAGAGAAGAGCAAAATTGGGGGATCGTCGCTGGCCAACGGCGGAGGGGGAGAGACTAGCAGCAGCAGCAGCAGCCTCTCCTGTGGGAAAGTAACTTTCCCTGGGAAACTTTCCATCCGCTCTTGACCGACCGGCGGCGGCGGCCGCGGCCGGGAGCGGCTTCCCCGCGGCGGGGCTGGACGGGACGGAGGCCGGCCTCCCACCCGCCTTCAACCAAGCGGGCGTATATCGTCTCGGCGGAGGAGACGGCAGAAGAAGGGGGAAAGCCTTTCCCGGGGGACGGGGGGGCGACGGACTCGGGCTTGCCGGAGAGGCCCTGGTTGTGGAAGGAGGGGAGGCCGGAGGGCCGCGGCCCGGAGGCACGAAGCAGCCCGCTCCGGCGGTCGAGCCTCCCCCGCGTCCTCCAGGGAGAGGAGCGGGGTTTTGCCACGGGAAAAGGCGGCCCGAGCGAGCCCCCGCCCCCGGCTGAGGAGAGAGAGAGAGAGAGAGAGAGAGAGAGGCCTAACCCCGCTCCGGCCTGCCCAGGCGCCCGGAGGACGGCGGCTCGGCGTGAGGCGCGAGGCCCGCGCGGGTCGCTCGCTTCTCGGCGAAAGGCGGCCTGCTTGCACCTGCCGCGGGGAGGAGGAGGGGGGGGGAAGGAGGCCCGGCGTGAAGCGCGAGCGCCGGAGCAGGCCGCGGGGCCTAACGCCAGAAGCCCGCCCGCGCAGGGCCCTTTCTCTCGCTCTCTCGCCCGCCGGCGCTGAGGCGACGCGCCGCCGACGCTCCGCCACCTTTCCCTTTTCCCCACCCCGCCACCCTCCCTCCCTCCCTCCCTCCCTCTCCCCCCGCCGGAGAGGGCCCCCTCCGCCTCTTCGTTCCCCGCCGGGGGCCGTGCGGAACCCCGCGGCGGCGCCCGAGCCTTACCGGGGCCTACGAGAGGCGGAGCCCGGGCGCCTCAGGCCAGACGGCAACGAAGACCCAAACTGACACGGCGGCCATCTTGGGTCCGTAGCGCTGCGGAGGGCGGAGAGGCCCTTGGCAGCGGAACAGCCCCGCGAGGGGAGGAGCCGGCCGCGGGGGAGGGGTGTGGGAACAGAGAGAGAGAGAGAGAGAGAGAGAGAGAGAGAGGAAAGAGCGGCACGGAACTGGGAGGAGGAGGGAGGGGCGGCAGGTTGAGGGAGCAGCCACGATCTATCTATGTATGTATGTATGTATGTATGTGTATATGTGTGTGTGCGCGCGCGCGGTTTCGGGAGAGGGACGGGGGCGAGCGCACGGCTCTGCGCAGGCGCTGAGCCCGGGTTGGAAATCCGCGCAAGCTTTGCTGAGCGGCGGTTCTGCGAGCCGGTTTGAAGGACCGGGAGGCTCTGGATCGCTCCTTGCGCGTTTACTTCGGAGTGAGACTATCACTACGACTATGATCATGATTTATCACTTATAGATTTTATGTACACTGAGAGCTTATAGGCCGAAGACAAATTCCTTGTGTGTCCAATCACACTTGGTCAATAAAGAATTCCTATTCTATTTCTATTCTATTCTATTCTATTCTATTCTATTCTATTCTATTCTATCTTCATCCAACATCTATTCTATTCTATTCTAATTCCTATTCTATTCTATTCTATTCTTCATCCAACATCTATTCTATTCTATTCTATTCTTCGTCCAACATTTATTCTATTCTAATTCCTATTCTATTCTATTCTTATTGTACCCCATGACTATGATTAAGTGTTGTACCTGATGATTCTTGACGAATGTATATTTTCTTTTATGCACACTGAGAGCATTTGCACCAAGACAAATTCCTTGGGTGTCCAATCACACTTGGCCAATAAAGAATTCTATTCTATTCTATTCTACACTGTCTTCTCTTCTCTTCTAATATTCTGCATTCTATTCTATACTATTCTATATTCTATATTTATTCTATTCTGTTTTATTCTATTTTTTTTATTCTATTCCATTTTTATTCTTCTATTTTATTCTTATTCTATTCTGTATTCTGTTATATTCTATTCTATTTTATTCTATTCTATTCTATATTCTATTCTATTCTCATTCCCTATTCTATATTCTCTTCTATTTCTCTATTCTCTTCTCTTCTTCTCTTTTATCCCTATCCCTATTCCATTCCATTCTATCTTAGCCTATCTCTTATTCTATTTTATTCTATTACATTTCATTAAGAATGCAATCCCAGAGGGGCAAGATATGGGCAGCAACAGGTAGCCCCAGCATCAGTATAAAGATTTTGGAGCCAAAAAGGCAAGGAAGCTAGCTAGAGATGTTCTTCGATATCAACTATCTATTTATAAAGAATTATAAACTCCCCACTGCAGAAATCTGGAGGATCCTTGCACATGACTGTTTGCTGCCATCCTGTGGTGGTCAGGATTTCAAAGACCTCCCCCCCTCTTTTTTAATTATATTTATATTACGTAATTGCTGCTAATGTTGCAGAAAAAAATGGCACTCGATCCTTCACGAAGAACCTGGGGTTCAAGTGAAGAGAATCATTCCACACAGGTGAGAAAAAAGCATGTTCGTTAGATATGTTTTATTATGCAAAAAAATAATAGTAAGATGGAGAAGGTCTTTCTAGATGGTCCAGCTTTAAAAAATATTTCAAAAGACTGAACTAGTTGCATGTTTTATATGACTATAGGAAATTCGTTTTTATTTTGGAACTTTTAGTTCATTTTAGTCTCACTTGTAATTATCATTCTCATACCAGCAGAGAAATCAAATCAAGATCACACGAAGTCTTAGTACCACCTTATAAAGCCTTGATAAGACCCTACGTGGAATCCTGCATCCACCATGATATAAAAAAAGGTGCTGAGACTTTGGAAAGAGTGCAGAGAACAGCAACGGAGATGATTAGGGGACTGGAGGGTAAAACATATGAATAGTTGCAGGAATTGGATACGTCTAGTCTAATGAAAAGAAGGACTAGGGGACACATGATAGCACTCTTCTAATGTTTGAAGGGCTGCCCCAAAGAAGAGGGAGTCAAACTATTCTCCAAAGCACCAGAAACCAAGATAAGAAACCATGGATGAAAACTAATCAAGGAGAGAAGCAACCTAGAATTGAGAAATTTCTTGACAATTAGTGAGGACAATTAACCAATGGAACAGTCTCCAGAAGTTGTGGCTTCTCCATCACTGGAAGCTTTTAAGAAGAGACTGGACAGCCACTTGTCTGGAATGATATAGGGGCTGGACTAGAAGATCTCCAAGGTCCCTTCCAATTCTGTTATTCGCATTGGTATTATTTACTTTTTTATTTGTCTTGTTATACTACCGAATAAAAGTATATATTTAAGCATCATTTATTTGTGCCTATGTATCAGTCCAAAGGAACATTCAAGAATTCAACCTAAAGCTCTAAACTTTGCCTGTTTTAGCTGGTAAAATATCACAGCTCAGCACACAAAATCAAGTAACAGGAGCACAGGAATTTCAAAACCAAAGAATTCTGGATGCCTGGAACACAGTCAAAACAGAATTGATTTGTATACGATTGTATCCTTTGCCATCTTAAACATGAATGGGCAGGCTGGCTCTTTAAAGTATAATATTCTTGGGGAACATGGCTTAACAAGAGTTTTTTTTTTCCCTCAGGCTGAGTTCCTCCCCACCCATTCTTGGACTGGCAGAAAACTAGCCCAGCCTGAAATTCCTTCGTTTTCTTGCCAGCCCGTGTCCAGCCCTTCCTTCCTCCAATCCTTGACTATTTTCCAAACTGTCGATGCCAAAGGCAAGCAGATTTCTACACCATTCGAGGCTGTCCTTGGTCAGAAAGAGAAAAGGTTAACATCACTACCACCAACTCATCTTTATTAGAGCAGAAAGCACTACATATACGGGAATTATAATAAAAACAAAAAGTAGGTACCAATAATATATAGGTTGCCCTTGACTTATGACCACAATTGAGCTCAAAATTTCAGTTCTTAAGCGAGACATTTGTTCAGGTGAGTTTCTTGCCACCGTTGTTAAGTGCATTATTGTGAAAGTTAAGTTAGTAGCACAGCTGTCAAGTGAACCTGGCTTACCCATTGACTTTGGTTGTCAGAAGGTCACAAAAGAAGGGGACATGAGCCATGAAATTAATCTGATAAATAGCAGGCTCGGGCACCAACATAAACCAAATCTATCTCTATCTACAGTAGGGATCCCCAAACTTGGTCACTTTTAAGACTTGTGGACTTCAACTCCCAGAATCCCAAACTTGGCCACTTTTAAGACTTGTGGCCTTCAACTCCCAGAATCCCAAACTTGGCCACTTTTAAGACTTGTGGACTTCC